ATAACCGGAATCAAGTGAAATTCCAACCGCGGCCGCTGAATCACTCGCATGATAAATGAGTAGAAGCTTTTTGGGGGAGTAGCAGGCGTTTTAAGAGAGAATACGTCAACGTGGACGAGGGGTGATATTGAAATACATATACAGGATGAGACAAAAAAAATGGTTCATAACTTCTGGGGTAGATACTACTTGGCAAGTGATGAAAAAAAAAACCCTAATTCATATGGGTAGAAAAATTAATATTTTCAAAGTTGTGAACAAGTTTCCGTTTTGATTAAATTATTCGGAGGCTATCGTACCCTGTAGAAACAACGAGGAAAATCATAAAAATGCTAATAGAAATTGAGAAAACTTTCTGCAACCAAGAAAAGAAGAAACCATAAGGTAATCCATTGCTTCTATACCTACGGTACGATAACGAAAAATTGTTTACCACTCTGAAAATATAAATTTTTCACCCTATGTTTATGGAGACTTTAGTTCATCATTTGGCAAGTACTATCTACCCCAGAATTTATGATCCTTTTATTTTTTGTTTCACCCTGTGTGTGTGTACATTATGCAGGACCATACACGGTTATTTATACCCAGTAATCTGCCGCGCGTTTTTCGAATCATCAAAACACCCAACCCCCTCCCCCTTTGGCATGGTTCCTCTGTGCGCGGATACACGTTGAACATAATATCCGCGTGTTCGAGATCGCATTACGCGATATCGATTCCACGGAGTCCAGAACGGAGACAGACACGGTCCTTCTCCTTTTCACCGTGATCCCCGGGCGAACCCTCGTCGCCCCACGTTGTTCGGCCGGGCTTCATTAACCAAGCCACGCTAATTAATCGAGAGACGCTGCTGCTGCAGCCCGCGGAATCAAGATGCCACCGAACCGTTTGTGCTCGGCCCCGAAACTCCGATGGAAACGAAACCACCGTGTAGAGGAGGCGCCTTTGCGTCGCCGAACGATCTGATAGTCTTGGGCTACCTGCGATCCATACGGTCAAACGATAGCACACAGCCTCCCTCCGTTCCCTCGAGCCTTTGATTTCGGCAGTAGAGGTACCATCCCGATCTTCGATTCTGCACTCGCCACTGCTGTATATTTTTTTCCTTTTCTTTTTGTATTAATCAGCATCGATTACCAGTTCAACGGAGGATATTTCGGTGGTGAGTACCGCGAGCCATTGAATCGTCGATCGATAAGGGATTCAACCCCTGTGTGTCGCAACACGAATTAAATATACGAGGCAATAACGGGCCTCGCTCCTGCTAAAACCCCTTTTACTACGACGCCCATCTCGGGACAACGTCCTAAACCCCCCGGGGCCGGAAACCCAGGACTGTGTTTCCCGAACGTATACCGATTTCCGGGGATTCCTTCGGTAATTGTCACACAGGGGAAAACGCAGTCACACACAAAAACACACACACACACACACGGTTCGAGTAACAGCATCCGCTGATCTACTAATTTCCTTTCGAAGATCCACCGCCACTCGACGCGAGCCAACTAATTACGGGCTACACAGGGAGGCGTTCGTTTAACGGCGTATTTTACTTCCGAATTACACGCAACGTAGATGCCCGATCCCGTGTTCAAACATCGCCGGCGAGTGGGGGAACACATTTAGACACACGGAACACGTGCCTCTCTCTCAAACAGAACCCGCGGATCGAGCGGATCTTGAGCGGTAAACCGCCGTCCGCGTCGAGTTTGTTATTCTCTGTCGGAATCTCATCGTTGGCCCCTAGTTCTCGAACTGTGCCTCTGCATGGAGTTCTCGTACGTAGAAAACCAAAGTGCTGTACGGTCCTACCCCAGGAGCTTGCAAAACGTCCAGAGCGTACAAGGCGAACGTCGATGATAGCTGGATGAAACGGGAACTCGGTCAGTCTGGCAGCTGAAACGCGATACGAGTTCGTAAGCAAAACGCTGCCCGTCGATCCATAAACAATACCCCAGCGATGGTATCGTTGGACCAAGTTGCTTCGTGAGCCAACGAGCGAATCCGCCGAACGATCGATCGATCGCGACGCGTAAGTGCCACGTACACATACGTATCTACCAACCTTCGATTAATTGGTATACAGTTTCCCGATTCTGGGCCGTGTAACGAGACTCCTCGAGAACCGATCGTTATTCGTTACGTAATACTCTTTGTGGGTCAATTGAAAGGACGCTCCTAGGAATCAGTCTAATGCAAATGTAAGGGAACAATCCGAAAGTGGACTTAGGCGCAACGAGGAGCGAAGTTATCGGTTCCACGACCTATTAAACGATCATTATGGAAGCCCACGATTACTCGTCCCGGAATTAGAAAACTCATCCCGGTTGTTATCGGATGAAAAACACCAGCATCGAATCTGTAGGGGAAGTAACGAAGTTAATCGACGTTATCGGAAACGAGCGTACCCCGTGACTCATTTTCGCAAGAAACCGGGATGAGATCATCGTGGACCACCAACCCCTCGTTCCAGATCCAACGTCGGTCCGCGCGTATCCAACACCCCCTCCGCGCGCGATACACAATTCTATCCGGAATTTACGATCGTTATTGCGTTCGTGGAGCCACGCGTTCAGCTATCCTCTAGGATTCCATTAATTGGATCCGGAGTCGGGTTACGGGTTCTCACCGTTCCGTTGATGCTGAATCAGAGCAGTCGTAAGTACCGTGTGTGGTGTGCAGCCTCGACTGAAACGTATGGTTTCCCGCGCGGAGAATATCGCGCTACCCTCCCCCTTCCACCAACCCCCTAGTCGATATCGGCTAAAGTTGCACCGTGTGCGAGCGTCGTCCATAACAACGCCGAGGGACCAGTGGATACGGCTTTGTTCGCGGTTTCATTCCTCTCTACTCCTCCTTTTCTTACGAGCACGATAATTATTTCATTGTATTTTTTTTTTCTAATGTAGGTAATTGGATATCCCACCCCTTGAGTTTCAATACAGGGTCGTTATTGCATCGTTTATGTCTCCTTTCGATTAACTTGATAATTATTATCGAAAGAACGTGGAATTTTTCTGTGCACACTCACGAACACACTCGGTTTTCGCTAGGGGGAAAAGGGCCTCCTGCCAATTGGTAAATTTATTTCTAGTATTGAAATAAATGTAGAACCGTACGTTAATTTGGTACGATTAATTTCAGTAACTTCGGAGACCAAATGGTAATAGGCTACGCCACTTTTTTTGCCTAGCGAAAGCAAAGTTTGAGGGTACAACACGATAGGTTCCGGTTGTCGTGTGGAAACAACGCATCGAACGGTCCGGGAGTACATTCTTGTCTGATCCACACGAATTCTCTGTTTTCAAGGAAAAGTCGTCCTGCCGGACGGTTGGCCGCAGACTCGCGGTTTTATCGAACAGGACGGTCCAGCTCCCTGCGGAGTGGCATCGGTTTTTCCAGCGAAAGGGTCGGGGAATGTTCGTTCGGGGAAGAAAAGGTTCATGACCTTTCTTCCTCAAGGGGGTGAGGTGGATGCGTCTTGTTCGACGCGTCGCCACTCGACATAAAACGCCAGGCGTTCGATATCCGATCGGTTCGAAAGGGAACATTTAGGCTCTAAAAGTGCTTTCACCCCTACGTGACGTTCACGCTGGAGGAACGAAATCTCTGCGGCCGCGGGGACCATACATCATCGCCGGTTGCCTTTATTTCCCGAATTCCTCCTTGAGCGGAAAAACGCAACGAAGAGCAGGAGGGGGGCAGGTTCGGAGTGAAAGGAATTCTCTCGCTGGCTGCTAAGCTCTCGGCTGAATCCATTAGCTGACGCCATTAATATCCCCCGTAATGATGAGCGATGAGCCACCGCTAAAACGAAGAGAGTCGCGGGAAGGCAAGACGCGAACGCGCCTAAGTGCGCGCTCGCCTGGCCGGGAAGGGAAAGGGGGGATGATTCTCGGCGAAGAGGGACTTATACGCTGCCCCCGCCGTATATGGAGGACCGTGCGATCGTATCGAGGCGCGCACACAACGGTTCCTCGCGAAACCTTTGATAAATGCTGCTTCCCTTGGCCCGTCGCCAAACAACGCGTAGCCACAATATTCCGTCTCGCGTGTATTCCTCTATTCTGCACGGAGGATTACGGGTCCGGGGACTTATCGATGTAATCAAATCGCCGGGTATTTTCACCGCTTAACAATCGACCACTAGCTGGCAGTGTAAAATTACGGGGATAGAACGTGTGTATGTACGATTTGAACTGTTGGAGATTCCTCCGTACGCGATACGGACAACGTAACTCCAGGGAGGGAAGAGGCATATCCTCCCCCGTTTAGCCAGCACGATCGCGATGTCTCCCCCGATCGAACGGTTTCTCTGGCGACTCGCCAGCCGACAGAATATCCATCGAGCTGGTATAATGCTTGGAGGAGGGCAGGCTGGAGGCGAGCTTATCGATACGCATTAAATCCGCAGTCCCAAAGCGCGTTGTCGTCCCTTTCCAGCCGCGTCTCGCGCGGCTTTCGCACCTCCAGGTAAATGAGTCTAGCCGGGCTGGGTTCGCGCACAATACGACCGCCCGATCGATGATTCGCGAGGGGGCTCGCGACAATGGGCACGAACCGACGGAGAGACGATGCTAACCGCCAGGAAGTTTCTCCATGCCGAGGATCTTTCGCGGAAAAATCACTTTCCCTTTTCGCAGGCGTACCACGTAACTGCACCGACGCGACGCCCCTGCTCTCCTCTTCGCAACGTGCACGCGTGACGAGCGTGTTGCCGTGCCACGGGGTCTGGGCGGAATCTTGAGGCGAATTTTTATCTTTTCTCCCCCCTGTCTGATACGTGATTTTTCTTCCAAGTGCTTTTTAAACCGTGGTACCACGCGGTGCTATAAAATTATTGTTAATTTATGCAGCGTCTAGCGACCCAGAGCGTTGATTAATCCGGTCAACATCAGTTCTGTGGCGAACAGGCACTTCAGGGGCGACTCGACATCGCTAAGAGTGATAAATTTCCCCCTGTTTTCTCAGCTAACGATGATCCTTTTTCTTTCCAGATGATCGATGCGTCGTACCACACGAATCCATCGCTCCAGAGCACCGCCCTGATCATCACCTGCGCGGTGGTGCTCCTCCTGATGGCGGCGATCGTCTCCGTCGTGTTCTGGAAGTGAGTACAGCCTTTCGAATTCTCTCCTTTTTTCGCAACGAAACAGTAGAATCGCTCGACGTGTGACGGGGATAAGGGAAGGTGAACGGCTGCGCGTAAAATTGTTCAGGGTCGTCGAAGGTGCGCCGTCGTCGTCGTACGTCCGTTCTCCCTTTGCAGCCGGCAATAAAGACTAGGTTTCATTCCGGCCGGACATCGTAAGGTGTTCTCCGGGGCTCGAGGTCGCTCGGGTTGTAACCATATTTCAAGGGTTCGAGTGGCCATCCACGTGGAGGGTCCCCTCGACGAAGAGGGACGAAAAAGGGCGATAGAATGGGCTGGCTAGCGACGCCAACGACGCGACATTGGCATTCTAGTGGACAATAAATTAGCCAAAAATAGGCCATTTCGCGGTAACCCCGAAGCGTGCTACCGACACCGTTTGCTCACCGTGACCCCATCGTTCTGGGTTCTTTCGCATCTCGATCCTCCTCGACGTTCACAGTTTATACATGCACGAAGTGTGTATTAACCTGCTAGGCGTCGCGAATAGAACGGAAGAATCGTAGATGGGTGGACAGGAAACGGGTATCATTGTCATTCCGGTGAGCGTTAAATTAGCCGTGAATAGGCCAGCGCGGAAGCCAGAGCTAACCGTCTAGGTGTCGGGCCGTGCTCTAGACAACCGCTGGTTTCGCTCGTTCGCGATAATCTATCGAGACATCGTGGAATTCTCCCGAGTGCGCCCGCGGGATATATACGCGCAGCATTATACGCTGGGCCCATAAATTTCCTACATAGATCCCAGTTAACCTTTATTTCTCTCGGGTCAGCGATATTCGAGGAACAGCTGAAAAAGCCCAGTATCATAGAAAACGTTCCCTCGATCATGAACGTTTCTCGACTCTCTGGACCATCAACGTCAAAAGACGTTCAAGAGTTACAGGTTCGCTCGGTCGGTTCTAAATTAACCGAAAACACGCCATTGACCGAGTACGCGTGCGTCGAGACGGTGTTACGCGCCAGTTACGACAGAACAGTCGCTCCACTGATAATCTCTCCGACACGGTAGCTGCACCAAGCTGCTCCTCCTTTTGTGCCCGCGTAAGCAAGAATTGCCCGTGGATCCACACGAGATCGAGCCTCCGTACGGAGGAAGAAATATATGCATTCACTGTGTGGTATACGTGCCCCGAAGATTTACGTGGCCCCGCGTTCGCCCCATTCGGACATTGTCTCTCGCTGCTTTACGCGGCGGCGGCGGCGGCGGCGGCGGCGGTGTCGTAATAAAAAATGAAATACAATGGAGTAAAGAAGCGTTTCTAGAACTGGGGGGGGGGGGAAGGGTGGATGCAAACGCCGGTTCTTTTTGCCGCGTCAAACGGGAAAGGGACTTTTCCATTCTGAAAATAATTCACGTCCCTGAACGCGAGCTGCCCCCAAGATATACGAGGTTTCCCCGATGGTTTCCCTCGACTGAAAGAAAGCCTAGCTTTGAAATACACGGTGTTCCGTCGATTATTCGTCGTACGATATTTGTTGTTCAGGATCCGAGTCTGGTAAAGGGACAGGCGACAAGTAATTTCGCGAGAATGCCGACAAAAAGTCACGACGACCGATGATGCCACGATCGATGAACTCTGGCCGGGGGATCGGCAACGGGCCAAGACGATTTTGGATCGTACAGAGGCCCGCATTCAGGATCCACGGTCCCCGTCGTATTTTTATCGGGAACCTCTCGAAACTCCACTCGTCGCGACAACGGCCTGTCTGTGGCCCTCTTTTCGCACTGGTTATCGTAATGGCCGGTGATTATCGTTCTGTCCTCTGTAGTAATATCCTTTGGTTCTTGTACCGACACCTAACCGAGTTCTCCCTTCAATCTTGCTACACGAACGACAAATGGGGACAGATGAACTTTCTTAGAAGTTAAACGCCAAGATTTCGTTGATTCTCAGCGTGTACTGTGGTCGACCATGTTTCCACGCGCGATCGAAACCGAGCTGAAACGTTCCGGCTGTTTATACAACAGCGTCCCTGTACCCTGTTTTTTTTTTTTCTTCCTTCTTCAGTTTATCGTAATAGCCGGCCATTATCGTTGCTCACAAGCGTGGTATCTCAAGTGTTACAGCCCCGCGACGTTCTCTCCGACTCTTTGCGCCGAGTTCCCGGACTTTGTGGGTGGCATTTTACTCCTTCTTGTTCCCCTTCTCCCTGTTGTTCTGTAAACGCTGTCGTCTTTCTCGCTCTTTCACATCCCTTTAACGCGCAAGAACACACGTATATGTATACGTACACTCCAACGGGTATCTCATCGATCAGCCACCACACCGAGATTTCAACTTCCACGGAAAATCACCGAACTGTCTTCCAAACACTTGGGGGTGAACTCCCGAAAAGCATCCATACCCTGACCTGGACATATATTATCAAGGTCACCGAGTAACCTTCAGAAGGATTAAACCGCGGATCATTGGTTATAAAAAGTTATCAGCAAACAAAGATTGAAAACCGTACCATAATTTTCCCAGAAATCTGAACTTTTCAATACAGAAGTATCATGTATACAATCAATATAGTGCTTCAACTAGGTTAGAAGCAGTTCAAGAAAAAACCTCATTCAGAAATGGTTAGACGTGTGAATGCTTTTCAGAATTTTATCCACCGCTCGACGTTCACCGGCGAGCAAACTCTGCTATGGGAAAAAGTTAGGGAAAGGGCCTCCTACCACTCTGTAAATTTATTTCAGTCACTGAAACAACTGTTAAATCGAATATTAATTTGTTATAAATATCAGTAACTCCCAAAACTAAATACCAGCAGGCCAACTTCACTTTTTCCCCTGGTGGGAGCCGAGTTTGCTAGTCGGTCTTCAAGTAACGAACTGCCCCGAAGAACCTGCCTCTTCATAACGTTCCATACGTGTTGCTCCGACGTTAGAATGTTGCGGCAACAATTTTTCCGTCACGAAAAGGCGGTCGGTCGGGTCAGCGCGCGTTTCGCCGATCGAGATCCGTGCACCTTTAATCACGGATCTTGGACACCCCCGTGCGAGCGTGCACGGATACACGCGAACGGAACGCAACGTTGCGCGCTGGTTCTCCGTGTCCCGAGCTATACGCAACGGAGAACCAACACGGCCTCGCGTAGTTTGTATGCTAATCACAGTCGTGTTCTCCCATATCCGTGCTCTCCCGGCCTCGTTCCTGTGACACACACGCTCCACTCTCTCTCTCTCTTTCTCGTTCTCTGTCGACCATGTTCCCTCCCTCGTGCACCGTGGCGCTCTCCTCTTTCTCTCCGCCGGGATGCTATTTCCTGCCCGACTCGATGCGCCGTCGTCGTCGTTCTTGTCGCCGTTTCAGCCAATTCGCGATAATTCGACGCCGTTGTTCGGAACGGCCACGCGAACGGGACAGCGATCGGACCCTCGTTCGCCGCAGGATCGCTCTGAGAGAGAGAGAGAGAGAGAGAGAGAGAGAGAGAGAAAGCGTAATCGAGCACTGGGACAAATTGTAAATGGACGTAACCGCGCCTCGCCGGTGTTCGCCTTGTCAGCCCTTGAAGTTATATATGCACCACCCTGGACACGTTGTTTCTGTGTCTCGTACGTCGGAGGCGATTAAAACTGGCCACGGTTTTTGTCTTACTTTATGTGGGGATATATGGGAAATGGGTTAAAATAAATAGTAAATACTATGAAGCCTTTTGTAACTTTGTTTTATTTCTTGGCGTGGAAGGACGTCTTAACGCTTTGAAAATCGTACTCGAAGCGAGGAAAAATCCGTAAGGGCACGACCGAGTACAGACTGTACGATACATAGTTTATTACACAGCCCTGAGGTCAAAACGTTACAGGCTTATGGGTCCGATGATATCCGGTCTATTGTATCATTTTAACTAAACCAGTGTTTCCCATACGTAACACTATTTATTTTTGCTTACTAGCTGACACATTATAACGATGTAGTAAAAATCCAACAGGATGTACAGGCTGGTGGAGCTGTTGAAGTTCCAGGGGAGGCAAGCAACTCGTGGGGGAGAATGTAAAGTATATTTGAAGAATATCGATATTCCAGTGGCTCGTTTTTGCTAGACGGTAAACGAGTTTTAAAATACGAAAGAAACACAGTGTGGTAGAGCTCCGATGTATAGACAGAAGGTGGTGGAAGCAAGGAGGATGGGTTGCAGGGCGGAGCAAAGACCCCGCAGCCCTTATTTAACCGGCCACCCTTGATGCTACAGGCAATGCCTCTTCGCCTAATCTAACCTATATTTTTCCCCGGTTCGCCAGAAACCCAGCTGCCGGCTGTTCTTTTTCCTCGCTATACACAATATGTGTAGCTATCCACCGTGATTCCGAGCTTCGTCTAGACGGTGGTTGTTCGGTTGCTTCTATCTCTCGTCTGGCCTCTCTGGCGTGCTGAATGAAGTTGTAACTTGGCGAAAGGAATTGAACTTGGGGAAACGTATGTCTGCGAGTTTGATGGAAATACCAAGCTCGGCATCACCGACATTAAAAGTCGATCATCCAGAAAATATTGCGTTTCGTTCATGTTTCTCTCTGTGTCAGTAGTTTCTCTCGAGCCAGGCGATCGAAGCCGAGCCTTTTGCAACCCAATTGCGTTCACCAGAATGGAGAAAGCGCAGAGCAACGAGGATCTTTTCCCCGTTCTTTTCTTCCAATGTAATCCTCCGTTGGACACGGTAACCGAACGGCGCACAGTCGAACATCGATCTGATCGTGATATCAAGCCCTCCTTGCATAGAAGTCTTTCTCCGCCCGCAGCTACCCATTTCGCCTCGCGTAGCGTTTCGCCCATGCTGCCGATCGCTCGAACAAGCATTGCTTACGAGGCACCGAATCGAGGCAGTTACGTCGAGGGAAAAGCGGATTTAACAGGGTCGTTGCAACAACAGGGAGACGACATCGTGCGTACCTATTCATTAATTCGAATCTTCGATTTTCCCTGGCCAAGAATCGCGGGCTGATGCTCGGGGCAATAACGATAAACGTCACG